CCATTTAATGTTTTATTACCCAGAGAAAGTCAACTTGCAATGTTTTTACTGCCATTTGGTTAATGGATATCTTAAATGTTGGTCTGCATTTTTCTATACTCTCCGTTGAACTGGACTCAAATCATGTGAAGAAATCAATTGTTCCCATGCCCCCGGTACTATCCCTCCTTAACTGAAATATGGCATAGACAAGATTTGGAGATGGGGCGCGGTGACTCTGCCTGTGTACACAGAGGCGTACCTGAGTTGGGGCAGTGATTCACCCATTTCCCCAGTGCAGACCTTGCGTGTTGGGAACGGAGCTGTGCTTGTGCGGGGTGTGACCCCACAGCGGTGTTGCCTGTGAGTGCGAGATGAGAGTACAATTTCTCCTACCCAAACTTCTTTCTGACAGCTTCTGCAGGCCTCTGTTAAGAACTGTGAATTTCCAATCACATTCATTTAATTGGCTTTGAAATGAATAAAATCATGGTAGTTCTCATGACATTCTGACTTATTAGAAGTTTTTTTAACATACAGCAAGTTGACAAAGGCTTTTGATTTTTGATAGTGTTCCTGAATTCATTTGGATGGCCACAGCATTTTATCTTGCTTTACATCTATGTGAGGAGGCTATTTGGGGTGTGAGATTACACTGACCAATTTCTTTAAAATGAGATTTAACAAGAAATGTGAACTATTCTGAAACAACATTCCAAGTAACCATAAAGCCTGACATAATCTAACCAAAACAGTTAATTTTTTATGCACTGAAGACAATCAAGAAGGAATGATGTTATGCCCTGCATTACTCCAGAAGTCACCTCATCCATATACTCTGTTTCTGAAGTCTTGGTTTATTAGTCACATATATGTGCCAGTTACCAGGGGTAAAAGTTTATGTGTAATATGTGTAATGAATTAAAAGTTTTAGGCAGAAATGGGTTTTAAAGAGGGAACAAAAATGAGCAAAACTTTGTTTGCTTTTAAAAGAAAGAGGTGAAGTAGGGAATTGCATAAATGAAAAATTAAATTCCTCACATCCTACAGTTGTGAATAAGTATGTATTCATTCTTCACAGAAACTTCTCGTCTTCCCAGTCTCTTGTCCCAGAGAAATCCAACTGCATTAAAATTCAGGCACTGATGGTAGAAAGTTGATAAAGGGTTTAATAAGTGTGTCTCAGAATTCTTTCTCTTCTGTGAAGAAATGAACTCTATGGGACCAAGACTCTGGGGCCAATAAAGACCAGTATGTCCCTCTACTCTCGCCTGTGCTGATGCAGTCTCAGGGAATAAAAAAGATGGAAACATTTGATTATGCCCTCTCTTTGCTTGACCAGAATGACCCACAATTGGCGGCTGAGCCAATAATGCACAGACTTTGAATAGTCATTCAAACTCGTCCCATATTTTGGAATTGATCCTAGTCATTACATTGAATATTTTCCAGAGTACCAACTACTGAACACATCGTAGGAAAAACATGAGGAAGTATAACTAGAAATAGAATTTACAACTGTATAGGCAGCACATGGAAACATGTCACACGTGGGCATTTCAGCAAAACTGCCTTCTACTTGACTGATAGACTCTATATGTACAGTAGCCAACATCTGTTTCAAAGTCACAGCCATTTAGATGATACATGACTGATGTTTGGGAACTTCTTGTTCTCAAAGTCGTGAAAACAAATGAGGCAGGACACTGTTATTAATGTCCACTTACGAGGTTTGGTTTTATTTAAAAAGTGTATAAACATGCATTTTTCTTCTTTAAAATTTTTCTTTTCGATTTACTCATTCAAAATGGGTCGAACATATTTTAGTTGGTAGCCAATTTCTGAGGATGTACCATAAAATACTTAATCCAATAAATCTACTTACTGTGAACTGAACATACTCTGAGCACTGCTTTTTAAGCACTTAACAATTTGGCTATACATTTGGTGGCATGAACTTCACTTTTTAATCAAATAAAACACAAAATTGTATATCAACTGCATTGTATTTAAAAAGTCGTGAATTTCAGTGATGCAGCTCTGTCCTCTAGTGTGTTACTGTACATTTAATAGAAGATGAAAGAAGATATTGCAATAGAGTTTTTGCATTTGGAAGCAGCCCGAGTATGTCCTAATAATAAATTGCCTCTTTAACTATTTGCTAGATATTCCAGAGTTCATTTTGTTTGTTTCCTTGGGGAACTTTATATTATATCCTGACTCAATAAGCTGGAGAGATTAGTTATGGTAATTCAGAAAATGCTTTTTAAAAAAACTGTAAAATAGATACAGCTCTTGTGAAAACACCTTTAATTTCCATTTGCTTGTTGTAATTATCAGATGGGTCAATTACAATGACAGGCCAAGTTGATTCTAAATATAACTTTAATTTCCTTTTTTTATTTTTAGCAAGTTTAGTACATCTTTGCTACCTGTGTATCTTAATGCCTCTTCAGTCTTAAGACTTCAACTTCCTTCTTTTGACTCCTGCTTCTGTCAATAGTAAAAGCCACCTTTTTGCTTTTTTTTTAATTGACTCAGTTCTTGATGTTCAAAGAAGACTTCGCCAACGCCACTGTTCCTTTGTATCTTCCTATTTCTACACCCCAACTGAAAACCCTCTAATGTGATTGGTTACAACCAGCATTATCCAACCTAGCTTACAGTACAGAAACTCCCTTCACATTCAGTCTTTTTCTTCATGTCACGAGGAGTAGAGATTTGTGCTTATCACCAAATAAAATCGCAGTGCAAAATTTAAACATAAAAGTTACACAATTAAAAGTTAATATATGGCACCACAGCCTATTAATTCACATATAGTACAACAGACCAATAAGAACAGACAGTAATATGAACAGAGCTAAAAAGAGTGAGCTTGCATAGCAATGCACAAAAGAAATTATATACAGAGGAAAATCCTTTTCTTCCTGGAGGGCGAGCTTTGTTTTCTTTCTTTTTTTATATACTCCTGACAAGAAAGAGTTAAGGTGGGTGGTGTACTTAAGAGAACACAAGTAAAATATCTGTGGGGTGTGTGTGGCTGTGTGTCTTTACATTGCATTTACAGTTCTTTTAATAGTACATAAATAAAGAAATTGTTCATTGCACTGTTCGTGTCATCACTTCCATGAGTTCAGACCTGATGGTCCTTCAGAGCAGCTTTGCATGTCTCCTCTCAGTTACTCTATAAAGAGATGAAAAAAAATCAGAAATAAGTTTGCATTAAGTATTCTTTATCCTGATCAGCATAACAAAAAGCAAAGCACACAGATACCAAAAGAAGGTCACCTCTTGGATTGTG